CCTATTTTTACATAATACGCTGTGCCAGGGAACCTTTGGAAGATCCATCACCTGCCGGCCAAGGCTCTTGGCCATTTGCCATGTGACAGTCCTGCCTTAATTTGGGAAAAAGACATACTTGATTAACTGTCACGATGACATGGTGTACTTGTTTTTAGAACATGCAGCCCCAAGACTTGGCTCATTCTATTCCCAGGAGATAACTGATGTAAGTTACAAGGTCAGAGAATAACAACGGGAGACATTTTGCAGTATTTGTATGTCTTTATCGTAAAGATCTACTCGTGTTTTATTAACGTACGAGGGAGAAGTTGGTGGAACAATGGAAGTAAGATATGAGTTTATTTAGTGCCGAAACTTTTTGAAATCCATGCATAGTTTTTTCCATAATAAACATTTTCCATGAACTTTTAATATAGTCTTTGTATTGCGTTTCTACTCAACAATAAAATACGCTGAGCTCATAGTACCCTCTCTGATAATAGGCTGGGTAAGGTAAAGTTCATAAAATTAGGTAGAAAAAAGGGTGGTAGGTCACTTCACACCTAGGAAAGCAGAGATGACCGGGAGTATGGATGAAATCCAAAATGTGGGTTAGGCTTATTCTGCCGTAAATCCAGGTAAAGGTGTGAGGTAGAGCAGGGGTGAGCTTCATTTTTTGGACTTTTGAGAATAAAAAAGAAGGAAAAGGTTATAAAAACAGTAAAAGTAATAATATCTAGTTATTCCTTAATGTGATTGTGAGTATAAGATCAAGTAGAAAGAAACCTTGTTGAAAAATCTTTTTTGACTAATGATCTCTCTCTCTCTGGAGCTCTTAATCTTTTACTTACTGTCAAATAAATAAATAAACAAACCAAAGCTAATAACAACCCCACCTCCCATCTTCCAGAAGAAACAAAACAAAATGAAACCAATCTACTAGCTTACGGTTTAAAAAGGAGAGTGAGGCCTCCTCTAATCAGTGGCTAAAAATGTTTCTAAAACATATACTTGCCGCTGCATTTTCTTGCTTTACTGATTTAGAATTTGACTTCTAAGTGTGGGAGATAAATGTTCAGTTCTTGCATTTTCCAACATCCAAGTTTTATTGCAGTGTTTGTTAAATCAGTGGTGAAGCACGTACTTTTGCTTAACTCCGTTTCTCTGCTGGACTAGTAAGTATACTATGATTAAATTTCTTTCTTGAACATTTGTTTTTCCTGGAGTTGATAAGCCTTTCATTCTTTTCATTTGCTTCATTTCTTAAAATGTATTCTTGTTCATTCTTCTCAAAGACTCCAGGTTATATGGCAATCTCTTTTCCACACAAACATCACATATCTGCTATTCCCACCTCCCCCTTTGTCCCCCAAGAACTTTTATTCTGGAGTCATCTTTCTGCCCCTCCCAACCAGCCTCGGTCCCTGTAGCAGACCAGGCACCCAGGAACTTCTCTATTACTCCAGTGGGTTCCTGGAATAATGGATGGCACCATGTTTGAGAGTGAGCCTGTCTGAAAATATCATTATTCTACTGTCACACTTGGCTGTTAGTGTTGGGCACAAAACTCTAGTTAGAATGATTTGTTCCCCCTGAGATTTGTAAGGCATAGTTCCATTCTCTCCTAACTTTAAGTGCTGGTGTTGAGAAGTCTGATGTCTCTCTGATTTCTAATCCTTTGCATATGACCTGACATATTTTTCCTTCTCCGTTAGCTTCAAAATCTTATCTTTATTCTTGGTGTTGGTAAATTTCAGACATGCCTGCATGTGAGACTGTTTTTTCTTCCTCACAGTGGGCAGTTGGCAGCCCTTTCCATCTGGAGATATAAGTCCTTTAATCATGGGAAATCGATCCATGTTTCGTGTTGGGCAGTTTCCTTGCATCTGTTTCCACACTTCTCTCTTTATGGAACTCCTATGATTCAGATGTTGACCTTGACTCTCTTGGATTGATGCTTTTATTTCTTCTTGCATTGTCCAATATGTTGCACATCTGTTTTACCTTCTGGAAGACTTTTCTTGACTTTATCTTCAAACCCTCCTGAACTTTCTTTGCTGGTGGTGGAGGAAGGCATAGTTTTAATTTCTATGATCTCTCATCAGATTATTCTGATGGTTCTTCTTTTTCTTTTCTCAGGCAGGTGTTGCTGTCACAATCCTACTGCCTTGGCTTCTTGGGTGGTTGGGACCACAGGTGTACACCACCACACCCAGCTTTTAGGGTGCAGCAAGTGTACGGTACAGCTATCTTATTTCTCAGGGTATTTATAAAATTTTTTAATTTAAAAGCATTCATTTATCCTGTACATTATAAACTGTCTCCTATTTTTTTTTTTAACTTCTTTATTTTGGCCTCTGTCCATCATAAAGAATTTCCGCAACTGTCTGGTGATTTGTGGTTGTCAATTTACAGTTTAAAATGAGGTATAACATGCTGATGAGGTATCACATGTTTATATCCAGGGCTTGCTAACTGTTGGTCTTAGCACTAGGACTATCAGGTAGCTGCACGGCTTTTTTACTGAGACGCCCCCAAAAGTCAATATCTGAAGTTCTTCCCTCTAAAGGTATATAATCTACAAAGAGCATCTCCGCAGATTCTCGCTTAGGACTGAAGAGGAGGAGAGACGAGGTCCTAAAACAGGGAAGGGAAAAGGACTGGCAGGACCTGGGACCAGCAGTTGGCGTAATGGCTATGTTGCTGGACTGCCATGTAGTCTACCATGGCTCAAGTCTTGGACCCGGTGGCTTAAACTCACACCAGGTGTGTGTGTGTGTGCACCCAAGATCCTGAGAGGGGAATGGAGAAGGGATTGCAGGCATCCAGGAAATGGCACATGGAATTTCAAGACTAAATGTCTTCCTGTTTGGTTCTGTATTTGCTCAAGACCTGTTAATCCTAGAATGGAAATTTCTTTTTCTTCCTCTTCTTTTCTTTTTTTTTTTTTTAAAGAGAGGTATCTGCTATCTATAGGTGCATACTGGAGAAACAGAGAGAAAGATAAGTGAGAAATCCTCCCACCAAGGGGATGGCCACACCACAATCCCTTCTCCTCCAGTCTTCTCTCGAGATTTGGGCACCCACACACATGTGCCTGGCGTGAATTTCAAGCTGCTGGGTCCAGGATTTGAACCATGGTCTGCCATGTGGGAGTCCAGCAACACAACAACTAGGCCATCTGCTGGTCCTGGCATGGGAATTTCTACACAGTGCCCCATCCTACCATTTTGCACATACATGTTGAAGTGCCTGCTTTTATTCTCATTTTACAAGTAAGAAATTGAGGTTAAAAAAGACTAAGTAATACGTGTGCAAAGTCTATTCACCTCACTGAAATTTCTACCTTTAGCATTTTCCTATGTCCTTAAACTCCTAAAAATCCTTCATAAACATTATCAGTGGCTTCACGGTGCAGATGTATTATGATCTACTCAAGCTTAAATGATCAAAATTGCAACACAAGAGTCTGCTCAAATCCGCAGACGCAGACCAGCCTCTCAAATCCTTAGTTTGCTATAAGTACTCACCAGAGGCCAAATCGGGCTATCAGTACATCTTACCGTCTCCCAGGGCTTAGAGAAGGACAACTGTCCGAGAGTGCTAGGACACTTTAAATCTATTTTTAGGTAAATCACAGGGCTTTGAAATGTTCTGAGTAGGTAAAATTTTGCTCACATAATAAAATAGATCCTTTAAAGCAGAAACATTTGTGAAAAAAGAGGCAGATCTGTTCCATCAAGAGAATAATTCACTTAGACTACCCAAACCACAGAAGTTATAGGTGACGAAGAAAAACAAATCCCACCTCACACAAAACTGTATTTTCAGTCGTTGCCACTTAATTGATGTCACCCTCCAGTTAATCAATGTTAGTCTCAATGCTCAAATAAGCCAGACACCTTCCCAGGGGTGATATCTCTTGGACACACACCTCCTTTGGTACATGACAAGACGTCTTTGGAAGCAGGTTGCCATTTTAGTTCATTTCAATGGTCTCTGTAGTTGATCATATCTAGGCATAAGTGAAGAGTCTATTGATAGGAAATGTGTCCATTTGCAAGTGGAGCTCTTTCTTAATGGGAGCTATGATAAGTACCCTGACAGATACCACATTCACAAGTGGAAAAACCTAGGAAGGACTCAAAGTTTATGGCTAGTCTCTTGAAAATGAACTACTGTGGGACCCGCAGTTAATGTAATGGCTATGTCGCTGGACTCCCATGTAGCAAACCGCGGTTCACGTCCTGGACCCAGTGGCTTAAAACTCACACCGGGCATATGTGTGTGCATGCCCAAGATCCCAAGAGGAGAATGAAGAAGGGATCGCGGTGTGGCCACCTCCCCTGGGGGGTGATTTCTCTCTGTCTGTCTGGCGAGCGCACGCGCCCTATAGCAAACACCTCTCCAAAAAAAAAAAAAAGGAACTACTGTGTGTGATAGGAAGTAAAGGGGGGGGGGAGAGGGTTTCCAACTCAGAAAGAAAAAGATACCAGTGTTATAAAGGACCTTCCTGAATAGACATCATTTTATTTCTACTATATCAGAATGGCTACACCCCCAAAACATTTGTAATTTTATAACTGAAAAATTGCTCTCAAAACAAAGAGAAAAATCTTTCTATTAGATACTCTAAACTAGGGGGGATATGGGAGGCAAAGGGAAACAGAAAGATAACAAGACCTCTTTACCTGTCTGCCTCCAGAAAGACCCAACAGCAAATCAAAGGTGACCCTGGATATGGTTTGCAGGCATAGGAGCCCTCCATAACAAGTATAAATACAGAATAAAGTTCCAAGTAAGACAGACACATTGGGGATAATGCCCAGGACCAGAGGCTCTGAGAAAAGTATACTTCTATCCCTGCAAACCCACCAGGGTTCCATTCAACCACCCCAAATTCCCCAAACAAGTATTTCCTAAGAACTGTGCCAAGATGTTAAAATAAGGAAATCATTAGCCGTGCTCAATATATACGAACGTTTTCTAGTAAAAATGGAATTAAATAAAAACCTTACCGGCAAAGTTCCAGGTAGAGATGCATCGAAAAAGGAAACCAAAGAATTCGGAGGTGCTGCAAAGCGGACTTGAGACCCCCTGTGGCAACCCCCACACAAAAAAAAAAAAAAAGGAACTACTGTGTGTGATAGGAAGTAAAGGGGGGGGGGAGAGTGTTTCCAACTCAGAAAGAAAAAGATACCAGTGTTATAAAGGACCTTCCTGAATAGACATCATTTTATTTCTACTATATCAGAATGGCTACACCCCCAAAACATTTGTAATTTTATAACTGAAAAATTGCTCTCAAAACAAAGAGAAAAATCTTTCTATTAGATACTCTAAACTAGGGGGGATATGGGAGGCAAAGGGAAACAGAAAGATAACAAGACCTCTTTACCTGTCTGCCTCCAGAAAGACCCAACAGCAAATCAAAGGTGACCCTGGATATGGTTTGCAGGCATAGGAGCCCTCCATAACAAGTATAAATACAGAATAAAGTTCCAAGTAAGACAGACACATTGGGGATAATGCCCAGGACCAGAGGCTCTGAGAAAAGTATACTTCTATCCCTGCAAACCCACCAGGGTTCCATTCAACCACCCCAAATTCCCCAAACAAGTATTTCCTAAGAACTGTGCCAAGATGTTAAAATAAGGAAATCATTAGCCGTGCTCAATATATACGAACGTTTTCTAGTAAAAATGGAATTAAATAAAAACCTTACCGGCAAAGTTCCAGGTAGAGATGCATCGAAAAAGGAAACCAAAGAATTCGGAGGTGCTGCAAAGCGGACTTGAGATCCAGAGAAGAGTTTAGAGTTGGAGGAGATCTGGGCATGAATTTCCAAACCTACCACAGCTGCCCATTTGTGTTCACTAAAGAGAAAGAGAGAGTGATTAGTGACATCTGTCACCACGCATGAACTTCTGCGCTTAAATCACAAATCTTGGTTTCTCATTTGTGCTTTCAACTTATTAAAACTTGATATCCTGGGGCCAGCAGGGGGTGTAGCAGTTACGTTGCCGGACTCCCACATGGCTGACAGCAGTTTGAGTCCCAGACCCAATGGCTTAAATATCATGCCAGAAGTGTGTGTGTGTGTGTGTGTGTGTGTGCCCAAGATCCTGGAAGGAGAACAGAGAAGGGATTGTGGAATGCCATCCCCCCGGGGGAGGGGGGTGATTTCTCACTTTCCCTCTCACTGACTCTCTCTCAGAAGGCAAGCACACAAACTAGGGCAAAAAAAAACCTCTTAAAAAAAAAAAAGAAAGAAAGAAAGAAAGAAAAAACAACCTGATATTCTTAACATTTAAAAATATGTTCTCTGTTTTGAAGATTAAATCAAAAGCAATTCATAATGAACACTTGAGATTGGCAAAACAAAATTCACTTACAAGATGGTGTTGGAAGGTTCACTATACAAACAGGAACATGATGGGGAAAGGACAATTTGGCATTTTAAAACAATTTAGAAATGGTATCAGGTAGCAAGTGCTTGGATGACTTCAGTGAAAAGCAGCATTTTCTAAATTAACTACCTAATGAATCAATTACTTGGTAAATGAAAAGAGCTGATATTTAGAACATTATTTAGAATTAGCATAAATAGTGGGATTCTACTATTGGAGCAATAACGACAAATAGTTCCATATCTCTATTTAAAAAGGAAATTTTTGGATTCATTCTGCAAGGATGGCTTGCAACCTAATGACTAGGGCGATAGACTCCAGGGCTCACCACTAAATGATACTCCTGAACATCTGTACAAAAGAAAACATCTATTGGTTTAAAGCAAATGTGGCATTTTTCGGTCCCCAAATCACTTTCAATTCCTGAGATTTAATTTCAGGTTACTCTGTTCATTCTTGATTGCTATCAAATCTAAGAGGCAGTGAAAGACTACAATAATCTCTCTAATTTGGGCATTCCTACTCTGTTAGGTCTGTACACAGGTCCCTCCAGGCTCTCCCAAGTGGGCTTATTCCGCATGAAATAACATCTGCTTTCTTATTCTGTTCTTCTCCCAAGCAGTTTTCTGCATTATATAGGTTTCTCGTTGACACAGATTGGGTTTTGTTTCAATCATTTCAACTAGTGAAGTTCTATAGCTAAAGCACTGCAAGAAAATAAATTCCTTCTTTTTAAGAGTTGGAAATATAGGGACCAGCAGTTAGTGTAATGGCGCTGGACTCCCATGTAGTCGACTGCGGTTTGAGTCCCAGACCCCGCGGCTTAAACTCACGCTGGGTGCCTGTGCGTACGTGCCCAAGATCCCGAGAGGAGAATGGAGGAGAAGGGATTGCCATCCTCCCTGGGGGGTGATTTCTCGCTTTCTCTCTGTCTCTCTCTGCCTTTCTGGGAAGCACCCTATAGCAAAAACCTCTGAAAAAAAAAGAAAGAAAGAAAAAAAAAAGAGTTGGAAAAGAGAAATTAAACTAAGAACTAGTAAAAACTTCTGCATCCACTAAAGCATTATTCAAAGTATTTTTGCAGTTTCATGACTTAAAAAATATATATATATAATTGACCTTTACAGGCAGATGACCTAATTTATGAAAGAAGAGAACATTTTTTTGGACATTTTCTCTCTGTTCCTCCAACTGCAACGTAAAAATAATGCCAAACAATCTCAACGAATAAAGATTAGAAAGGTGAATTGTGTTTCCGAATGTAAAGACAAAATATTTATGTCTTATATGCCTTAAATAGCTACCCAATGATAAGTAGCAACATAAGCAAAAGTCTGTACATAACCAGAGGTTAGTGTAGAGACTTTTTTAGCCTCCTGGGTCTAGACATACATGTTCAACATAAAACGCCTCCATCATAACTGGCGTTTTCCAACTAGTAACATTATGCCACCGCTACCCAAAGCTTGTAAGTAAAAAGCTTTCTAGTTGTGCTGCACAGAAGTCCCCTAGATACGGTTCTGCTTCTGGTGCCACCGACTCCACTGGTGGTGCTATGGGCAAGGAGACTAAATGCACTCTCGGTGCAGCCTCTGAATGAAGAAACTCGCGGGTTCCCCAAATATGCCTCTTTTTTAAGACAGTCGTTTAGACACGGGGACGGGCCTATTTTGTGTTCCCGTTTACGTTCCACCGCTCCAGGTTAGAGTCCAACCCCCTCCCGCTCTTCGGAACGTCTAAAGGCAGGGCTGTAACGGGCATGTCCGCAGTCCCGCTCGTACTCCGGGGGGCAGTAATGGTGTAAGGCAGTATACCCTTTCCTCGGCTCCTGGGCCGTGTGGACGGGCTGCTGAGCCACTGAACTCTGTTCCCTTATCCGGTCCGACGCGGACCCAGTCGGAGCCCCTCTTCGGGACCGAGTCCTGCCGTCAACCAAGGCTAAAGCCCTTCGTCTTCCAAGACAGCCCCAGCGTAGCATGGGCGCCGCCATTGCACCGGCAGGACGCTGGTCAGGTGACTCAGCTTTCCTCCGCCGCGAGGCTCCCTGGGAAATGTAGTTCTGCACAAGCGTGAAGAGCCCGGGAGCTCAGACCGGAAGACTACTATTCCCGGCGAGCATTGCGGCCCAGAGGCTGCCGGAACCCTGGCGGGGAGGGGCGGGAAGGAGAACCAGAGGAGACGGCGGGAGGCTTTCTGGGTCGGGAGGTGGGGCTCCCCCTAGCGGGGAGGTGCAGAGGCTCGTGGCTGTGTGGGCTTATGGAAGCGTGTTCTGAGCGCGTGATGCCAGCGATCGCGCGCTGAGAACCTGGCTGGAATAACCCGGTGAACCTTGCGAGCCGAAGCTGATGACCTTGACATGTCCGCGAAGACTTCCCGAGCTCTCGAACCCTGTTACTTTCTCTGCCTTCCCTCCCACGCTACGCACCTGTTTGTGCATTCACACACGTACTGCGTCCTTACCCTATGCCAGGCACGGTTCTCAGGCCCTGAAGGGGCGTACCAAGGAGAGAAAGGCCATCAGGTGTGGCCTATATGCATGAAGTTTATAATATAAAGAAAGTGTACCCCGAAAAAAGGAGGTTTTTATGTATCAGTGGTACTAAATGCAGTAGTTCAGCAGCGGTGGTTGGAGACAACAGATCTCTCCTGGCTATTGACATGCGTTTTCATTTGTCGTTGTTGTTCTTGGCCAGTATCTGGAACACATCTTCCATAGTGGGAAGCCTTGACTGTTGATACTGTCATTCCAGTGGACTGTTAAAATGTTCCCGTTTCAAAACTCCTACTCCTTGTCGAAGTTTCTACTGGTTTCTTATATTTGAATACCCAGTATAGAGTAGCCATTCAGCCACTCTTTAATGTATCATCCTATTTTCATTCTTTGTATAGTGCTTTTGACTATTGGATGTTTATGTTCTGCTTCCACAAGCTCCTTGTCTTACTCACCATAGAATTCACAGAATACAAAGTAGGTTCCTCAGAAAAATGTCTGAATGAAGTAGTGCAGTGTAGAGAACGCTTCTGACAAAGGATGGAGTGGGCGCCCTTGGAGCAGAGATGATGAATTAGAGTGGTAGTGGAGGGGAAGAGAAATTGAA